GTTCATGTCTTTTGCCCACTTTTTAATGGGCTTATTTGATGTTTTCTTGCTGATTTCCTTAAGTTCTTTGTAGATTCTGGTTATCAGCCTTTCATAGGATATATAGCATGCAAATATTTTCTCCCATTCTGTAAGTTGTCTATTTACTCTATTGATTAGTTTCCTTGGTTGTGCAAAAGCTTTTTAATTTGATCAGGTCCCGTTTACTTATTTTTGTTGTTGCTGTGATTGCTTTTGAGGTCTTCATAAATTTTTTGCCTAGGCTGATGTCTATAGGAGTTTTTCTAACATTTTCATCTAGAATTCTTATAGTTTCGTGCCTTAGGTTTAAGATTTTTTTTAATGTTGTTTATGCTATTAGTCTATTAAGTTTTATTGACATTTTTATTGTTTGTATAACATCACTTCTTTTCTATTTCTTTTAGTATCTTGCTTGGAAAGACCTTCCTGATTCCCTAAGTACATTTTCTCATGATTTTTTCTGGATTAATTTTATTAAGTTTCCGTTCTCTAGAAAGTGTTACATATTTGTAAGTTTTAAAATTCACCTAAATAGAGTTTTGCAAATTACTCTATTAGGATTCTAATTTTGTCTCTTTATCTGAGAACCCCTGTCAATATTAATACCTAACTGCGTGCATATGTTCTTTCCTGAACCTTCATTACTTTTAGTTTAAACTAATGGGCTGTGGTGTGTTGCCGTCCCTCTCTCCATGCCTGCAGACAGGTCCTGGAGCAGTTCCCCGCAGCCTTTCCAGCAGGATTCAGACGGAAGGAGTCAGCTTGTGTGTGCTGAGTCCTTTCCCATTCCCGACTCCCCGCTCACATGTCTGAGCCCTTTCATCGTGCCTCCCACTGGAGGGAACAGCAGCTTGTGAAAGTTAAAAATGCAATGCTTGGAGAATGGGCCATGGCTCCCCCTTGCAACTATAATTGCGTTTTCTTTCTTCCTCTTTATTTTTTCCAGTCAGGCATGATAAGAACGGAAGAAGCAGATTACTTCTTAAAGCCACTTCCGTCACACCTCGCAGGGAAACTCAACAGCTCTGGCAGGGGCGGCTCTCCCTCCCACATCCTATACAAGCGGTCCGCGGAAGCCCAGGCGCCCAGGGCCGCTGAGGTCATGGTGACCGCCAGGACGCGGGAGCCGGCAAGTCAACACCCGCACCGTGGCGGCCTTCACCTTGGGCGCCCACAAAAGCAGCATTTCTGTGGAAGACGCAAGAAATGTATGTAAGGGCGATTATTTTTGCGTATTTAATGATTTGAAGGTTGTTGTAAGCCAACGGGAGATTTTCAATTTAAAGTATGTCTGTCCACAAGGAAATTTATTGACTGTCATTGCTGGACTTAAGTGCTGATTCCAGAGAAAGTCCATCATCTGTAAGTTCAGTTTCGAACATCTCTCCACAGTAGATGGACAGGTAATGGTAGATGACCTTTTTTTAGAACTCTTCTTTGGGAAGATGAAATGACACACTGCTCAGAAGTACAAAATCTACCAGACATCTTCAAAAGAACTCTGGCATCTCTGCTCAGTAATTCTATATTTCTGAGGTTTAGATTTATTGAAGCTCGTATAGTTTTCCTGCTGAGGTAATTCGTATACACACACACACACACACACACACACACACACACACACACACATTTTGCCACATCAAAAGGGCCGACTATGCAGGACATAATTTACCTGCATTTTATCACCACAGCTTTATCAGAATCTTTTTTGTCATGACCATTTAGGAGGTGATTTGTTATTTACGTTTTATGTGGAAACCTCTCAGAGATTCAGGAATGGAAGGTCAGTGTTCGCTGGAATTTCCGTCACATCCCTGAGTTCTCCCCTCAGGCATCACCTGATTGGGCCTCCAGCCAGCCAGCCCGCCCGTGGAAGGCCCATCTCCCCCAGCCCCACGGCTCTCTGCTCAGTTGGTCTGATGGCTGCTGTTCCCAGAACCCTGAAATGGAGGTGGGCACGGGGCAGGTGCTCAGTGAAACTTATTGAACAAAGCGAATGAAAGAAAATGACTTGGCACCTGCAACAAAAGAATAAATAGCATTTAGGCTATTTGTGTGGCATCTGCACCCATTGCATCCTATGCATAAAAGACATGTGCAACATTCAAATGGACTTGAAAAACTCAAACCCAAATGAACTTAGTGGGCTCGGTCATAGGGAAGGCAGCAGGAAGAGCCAAGTTGAGGACAAATAGAGGTGAACAGGACTCTGAGAAAGTTGGAGGTTGGATGTGTATTTGAACAAGGTGTGTCTGCCAGCAACAGAGGCTGGAGGCTGCCTTGACCGGGAGAAGCAGAGGTGAGTTTGGCAGGGGTAGGACCAATATTCAGGGCTAAGACATGGCCAAGGTCAGAGCCAGGATTTCTGCAGGCAGGGCTCATGGTGTGGGTACATCAGATCAGGACAGATTCCATGTTATATACCAGGGACAATAAATTGGTCCAACCATGTCGATCTCAGCAGGAAAAATGGCAGAGCTATCTTTTTCTTTTTTTTTTTCAGAGTATTACAGGAACACAAACATTTTGGTTACATGAATTACATTTGTACAGTCAGAGTTAAAGTGTGCCCATCACCCCAAAAGCATGCGTTGTACTCCTCATGTATGAATTTACCTGCCCTTTCCTCTCCCTTCCCACCTGCTTGGTTTCCATTGAGTTTTACTTGCATATGTGCACACGAGTGTTGAACGATTAGTTCCAATGTAGTAGTGGGTACGTGTGGTGCTTGTTTTCACATTATTGCAATACTTCACTTAGAAGAATGGTCTCTAGTTCCATCCAGGTTATTACAAAAGGTATTGGTTCACCATTTTTTGTGGCTGAGTAGTACTCCATGGTGTACATATACCACATTTTATTAATCAACTCACGTATTATGGGCACTTGGGTTGATTCCACATCTTTGCGATTGTGAACTGTACTGCAATAAACATTCAAGTGCAAGTGTTTTTTTTAATAAAATGACATTTTTTCCTTTCAGTAAATACCTAGTAGTGAGATTATCAGATCAAACGGTGGGTCTACTTTTAGTTCTTTGAGGTATCTCCATACTATTTTCGATAGAAGTTGTACTACTTTGCAATTCCACCAGCAGTGTCTGAGTGTTCCTTTCTCTCAATATCCATGCCAGCATCTGTTATTTTGGGACTTTTTGATAAAAGCCATTCTCAAAGGAGTTAGGTGATATCTCATTGTGGTTTTGATTTGCATTTATCTGGTGGTTAGAGACGTTGAGCATTTTTTCATATGCTTATTGGCCATCTGTCTATCTTCTTTTGAGAAGCTTCTGTTCATGTCTTTTCCCCACTTTTTTATGGGATCGTTTCATGTTTTCTTGCTGATTTGCTTGAGTTCTTTGTAGATTCTGGTTATCAGCCCTTTATCAGATGTATAGCATTCAAATATTTTCTCCCATTCTGTAGGTTGTCTATTCACTGTATTGATTGTTTCCATGGCTGTGTAGAAGCTTTTTAATTTAATCAAGTCCAATTTGTTAATTTTTGTTGTTGTTGTGATTGATTTTGGGGTCTTCTTCATAAATTCTTTGCCTAGGCCAATATCTGTAAGAGTTTTTCCAATATTTTCTTCTAGAATTCTTATAGTTTCATGTCCGAGATTTAAGTCTGTTATCCATCATGAGTTAACTTTTGTGAGCAGTGAGAGGTGGGGATCCTGTTTTCATCCTTTACATGTGGCTATCCAATTTCCCAGCACCATTTATTAAACAGGGATTCTTTTCCCCAGTGTATGTTTTTGTCTGCTTTGTCAAAGATTGGATGGCAATATGAGAATGGTTTTATATATGGGTTCTTTCTTCTGATCCATAAGTCTATGTCTCTGCTTTTGCCCCCATGCCATGCTGTTTTGGTTATTATAACTTTGTAGTATAGCTTGAAGTCTGGTAAGGTGATGCTTTCTGAATTGTGCTTTTTGCTTAAGGTTACTTTGGCTATTCGGGGTCATTTCTGGTTCCATATGAAACACAGAACTATTTTTTCCAGCTGTGACAAATTTTTTTTTTATTTTAATGGAGATTTCATTGAATCTGTAAATCACTTTGGGTAGTATAGACATCTTAACAATGTTCATTCTGCCTATCCATGAGCATGATATGTTTTTCCATCTGTTAACATCCTCTGCTATTTCCTTCCTCAGTGTTTCATAGTTCTCCCTGTAGAGGTCCTTCACCTCCTTTGTTAAATATATTCTTAGGTATTTTTATTTTCTTTGTTGTTATTGTGAAGGATATTGAGTTTTCGATTTGATTCTCGCCTTGGCTGTTGTTGGCATATATGGATGCTACTGATGTGTACATTGATCTTGTAACCTGAGACATTGCTGAATTTATTTATCAATTCCAGGAGTCTTTTGGCAGAATCTTTGGGGTTTTCTAGATATAATATCATATCTTCAGCAAAGATGCAAAAGAGCAAAATAGTTTGACCTCTGCTTTCTCCATTTAGATACCCTTGATTTCCTTCTCTTGCCTGATACCTCTGGCTAAGACTTTTAGTACTATGTTGAATAGAAGTGGAGATAGTGGGCAACCTTGTCGGGTTCCAGTTCTAAGCAGGAATGCTTTCAGTTTTTCCCCATTCAGTATGATGTTGGCTGTGTGTTTGTCATATATGGCTTTTATCATTTTGAGGTATGTCTCATCTATGCCTATTTTGTTAAGAATTCTTATCATAAATGAGTGTTGGATTTTGTCAAATGCTTTTTCTGCATCTGTTAAGATGATCATATGGTCTTTGTTTTTGCTTCTAATTAGGTGGTGAATTAAATTTATAGATTTACATATGTTGTACCATGCTTGCACCTCTGGGGTAAAGCCCACTTGGTCATGGTGGATTATTATTTTGATGTGTAGCTGAATTTGGTTTGCTAGGATTTTTTTGAGAGTTTTTGCATCTATATTCATAAGGGATATTGGTCTGTAGTTCTCTCTTTTTTGTTGCGTCCTTTCCTGGCTTTGGTATCAAGGTGATATTGGCTTCATAGAATGTGTGTCAGAGTCACTCAGGATAGTAGCACAGCTAAGGACATCTCTGAATGCAAGGCAGCAGAGATGATCCTCAGTTTGGTGTACATATGTGCATGTGCATAGGTGTGTGTGTGTGTGTGTGTGTGTGTGTGTGTGTACCAAATGTTGCCTGGGGAGGCATTTCAGAGTCTCAGTAGTGGGAGTTGGTAGAAGTCAGTTATTTGAAAAAGACTACTAAATTCTATAATAAATTTTGAACTCAAAAAATAGAAAAAAGTCACCATTATTTTCATAATAGAACTGGAAAAGGAAAGCTCGACAAAACGCCTCTTGCTGGTGAAAGACATTGCTGATTAGCATCCTGCTGTTTGGTTTGCCAGATATTTCTGTCCCTTCCCAGCTGTGCATGTGGCAGTACTGTACTCCTGGTCCCTGAGTGGCTGGGAGAATGGGGGTCATGCAACTAGCCAGGGCCCATGAGCCATGAGCAGAATTGATACCATTGCTTCCAGGCTGAAGCATTTAATTCTCAGGACCCCTTGTTATCTGCTCATGGCTATTTCCATGCTGGGAAGGCCAAGTGGGGGAGGGGTCCTGATCTTCTGTCTCCATGGGGGTCACACTTACAAGAATACTTCTCTGTTAGAGTCTGCATTTCAGAAAATACATGCTCTTTCTGTGTATTCATTTAAGCATCTGTCTTTGAAAAAGGGCAAACAAAAGCAGATTGATTTGCTTAAATGCACAGCAAGGGTGAAGCTCAGGCTCATGCACAGACTCGCTGCTTCTTGGCTGCAGGCATCAGCTGCTGGCAGATATTTATCTGGGATTCACCTGTTTCAGGGACAGTGCTGCAAGCTCTGCTGTTTCAGGCAGTCATTTGCTCTGATAGGTGGTGAAAATCCTGGCCAGTGAGATCAGCACCCGCCCTGCCTCTGCCTCTTGTGCCCGTTACTGAGGACCCTGTGCTGCGTCCTGTTTTCATCCTGCACACATTTTTCCACCAGTGGTAATTAAGACCAGGGGCTCTGGACCACCCTGTCTAGATCTGAAACCCGTTTCCAATACTTTCTAGGGAAGGGCTGTGAGCAGTTATGTTCATCTCCTCTGCCTTCATGGCCTGATCCTCAGCATGTGCTCCTGGGCTGGTGTAGAAAGTGAGTGAGTTACGCTAGACAACTCCCAGGGTGGAGTTCACGCCTATGTAGATTGCATGAAGGTTAATGGCAAGTGATGAGTGCTCATGGAGCATTAGCCAGTGTCATTATTATTCTCTAAAAGGTTCATTTAGGTTTGGAAGTATTTTAGCAAAGAGAGAGAAAATGTATTGGTTGTATCAGTCAAACAAAACAGCATGTGTGTTCCATGAATCCAGTTTGCGTAGTTATTGGATGCCCGCCGCCTAAATTTATGGGCTTTTCGAAGACTACTTTCACATGAAACAATTCTGACCACATTTTCTGAGGCATCCACTAAACCCAATTGTTTTTAATATAGTGTTAACTTAAGGATTATAAATGCCAGAAGTACTTTAAAGGGATTACTCCAGGAGGACAGAGTATATTTTGTCTTCTAATCAAATTAGGTAAATATTTATGGTACTTTCTAGGAAATTAAGCTCTGCAGTAAAGTGGAACCAGCTCGAGTAGTTTATAATCCATTTGAAACAGTGTAGACAAACCAATTTTGTGTCCAGACATTGAAATCAACTTTAAAATCCTTCGTGTCATCAAAAGCCTTCAAGTAGGAAAACAATGTGAGCCAGGGCTCTTTTTTTGGTAATTGTTAGCTCCATTGCTTTGTCTTTGTGGAGCAGCCCTGCTCCATGGAGCTCTGTGTTTTACAGTCTTTGAGCATTGTACTTCTAGACACTAGGACTTCAGAGCCACAGAGCTCCCCTCTTGTTGTTTTAAATCAGCACATTACATAAATGTAAACACAGCAATGATTTCACCACACCTAGACTATACAAACTTTATTTAGATTTAGTATTCTAATATAGCACAAGTTTTTGCATCACAAAGTTTTAAAGGTTGTATGGTTTTATCATGAGTGTTCATTTTTAAGACCAGATTTCTCCATGACGAGTCACAGTGTTGGTTTCATGTGGTGACTATGGCTTTCATTTGCTCTCTGTGTGTTCCTCCGTAGACATGCCCCAGCCTCCCAGCAAAGACCTTTTCATCTTGCCTGATGAGTACAAGTCTTGCTCACGGAATAAGCGCTCTCTTCTGAAGTCCCATAGAAACGAAGAACTGAACGTGGAGACTTTGGTGGTGGTCGACAAAATGATGATGCGAAACCATGGCCATGAAAACATCACCACCTATGTGCTGACCATACTCAACATGGTAGGTCGTCCTTCTGGTTGACAATACCTGTGTGGTCACAATGGGATATAAAAGGGTATGTGTGTGTGTTTCACGTTTTACTTGTAGATTGATGTCTCACATATAAGAAATATTTCAATAGTGATAGCTCTTTTAGTTTTACTATGCTCCAATCAAAACAACCATTTTCAGAACTCCAGAAACTAAAATAAGGAGGAAAAATAATTTGAGCCTTTGTGTAAGTCTCTGTCTGCCTGTGAGAGGTTTTGGGCTTACCGATGTCTTTATTTAGTAGAAATCTCGAAGAGGGTGCCGAGACGTTGTAGCTCAGGAAATGTCAGCATTCGATGTGTAATTTCAGAGGGCCATGTAGAAGGCACCCATCTTTTTAGGAATATTAATGTTAAAATGTTGAATATAAATTATTTTACCTACAAAGACAGTACAATCTTTTAGAATATCACCTAGAATAAAACGTTTCTCTGTCTCAAATTGGCAGCCATATTAATAATTGAAGAGAGGTGAGAAGTGTCCTAAATATCACTTCATGTCAGTGAAATCTAGATAACAGAAGACAAAATATTGAGTCACCAAAATGTGTCTTTAAAAATAGTTTTAATGACAATATTTTAAAAATATGTTATTACGTTCTTCTACCTCAAAAAACAGAGTGTCCCTAAGTATATCTTTCCTTGATGTTGTGCGATTGTTATCACTAGCATCATTTTTGATAGACTGCTCCTCACAGTTTATGGTCTCCCAGGGAACTGAAGGAAATAGTGAGCTGGAGCCACCCTTCCATGGCATGGGGTTGAGGTGTCACTGTGTGAAGGACAACAGGGCCCAGGGTTTTTGCTGCATCCATAGTTGGCACACAGTTTCTGTGCATCACCCCAAATGACACTCGATCATTCTGTGACCCGTCATCTTGAATGTTTGCATCTTTCTTTCATCGTCTTCTTACTACGCTGTTTCCTTCTCTTTCTTGCATCCTCTTGTTCTTGTCCCAAGTATTTCTCTTGTGCTTACGGAATTTCCTGCCAGGAGAGCTTGGGGAGTGCTTGGCTTCTGCAGTCATCACTGTGAGTTTAAGAAATTCTCCCCATATTCTAACAAGGATACTTACCAACCCCAGGGTCTTGTAATACTTTCATTGGTGTTTGATGATAAGCTATGAACCCCACCATTCCAACTGCTTTTTTACTGTCAGGTACCAATGATAAGAATTCCACTGTTGGTAATTAGATATTTCTATTCCTTTTTGTCTAGCAATATAAGAAAATTGGTGTTGCTTTGTCACTGGAGAGCAAGAGCATTGTCCTGCAGCTGCAGTGCTGCAGGCCCACTGACAGGCTCAGGGGAAATGTTGCCCTCTCTGGGACTGGTGTGATTTCCTGTCTTTTTCAGGTGTCTGCTTTATTCAAAGATGGAACGATAGGAGGAAACATCAACATCGTAATTGTAGGTCTGATTCTTCTAGAAGACGAACAGGTACTCTATCTTTGAAATCTGCTGTTTTTTTTTCTTGTCAGAAAAATAAATGCAAAATAATGTGTTTTTTTTCTTTAACTGTTCTGTGGATTCTTTTCTTTCTCTTGGGGACAAAAAGTATTTAATATTTTGTTAATATTTTGTGTCTGATGCAATGAGTTTCTTTTCAGTTCTTTTTAATTTTTTTTTTAATTTTATGTGTTTTTGTGCCAGAGTAGTAAGGAATACTCTTTTAATTTACTAATGAGAAAACTGAATATAAGACCTGCCTTAATATAGGGGTGGGAAACACACTAGGAATACAAAGTACAAAATGTATCTTCAGCCACCAAGAGCTTTTAGGATGCTAGTTGGAATAGAGCCCTGTCTGCTTTTTGCTAGGAGACTAAAAATGTTTTATAGCCTAGAAGTTCCATTGTGCTGTGTGGCACGACACTGCCTTATTCAATTACCTTCCAATTAATTCCTGTTCCTCACCGCCTTCAGTCTTAGATTTTTATTTTCATGGGATTTCTACGGAATGTCAGGCACATTTCCCTCACTGTATGCAAAATCCCAGATTACGCTGGATCCTGGTGGCAGTGGGTGAAGGAATCTCCACCGCCTCCATCCTGGCCCCCCGTGAATGCATAGAGGTGTCCCTCTAGTCACAGTGACGGTGCAGATGGACATTTCATGGCATAAGTAATGGGGGGCATCTTAGTCATACTAAATTCTCACTTTTATTTCGCCCCAAGCTAATCATTGACTTGGCCAAGGAGAGTGGGCCCCAGACCCAAGGCATCAGCATCACTCTCACCCCTGCCCACATCTTCAGAGTCTCCTGTTAGCCATACTTTTTTTATTTATAAAACAAAGAATTTTTTAGATGAAATCTGAGATCATTCATACAATCTAAGACATCCTCAGATGTTAAAGTTCTAGGACGTGGCCTTCTGTGTGCATAGTGGGGATGTGTGGCAGGGCTATTTCTAGCCCAGCTAGTCAGAGAAGATACAGCCTCATTGTCTTTTGTGTGGGCATGTAGTTGGGAGGAGTTTGCTGAGCTAGCAGGGATTCTCAGGTGACAGGTTAATTATTCCTGGTATTAAAACGTTTTCACCTTGGAACTCATCCAAGCTGCAAAGAATAAGCGAGGTTATCGTTTGATCATACACCTGTGTTAACTTTAATTAATGCAGTTTTCCTGGAAATCACCAGCTAAAGAATGCAAGGCATGCCTCAGTGTTTATGTATAGCTTTCAGCTGAGGTATATTTGACTCTCTGGAAAAACAAAATAAACACTTTAAAGAGAAAACATAGTCAGTGACTGAGAGACAAACATTTCAATACAACACTCTAGCAGTGAAAGTTTTAAACAAGATGGTGTTCTGAAATGGAGATAATTAACCTGGTTTTCTCTGATCATCCATAGGAAAATATAGCATACCTATAAATTATGTTTAAATAACTCAATGCAGCCTGCTCTGATGGATTTTCTGGCTACCCCCCAAATTCCTCAGTTCCCAACAGTTCCTAAGTTCTTCCCTTTGTTATTTCACTGTTGCTCTGTCAGAACTTGGTATATGTAGATAAGCCTGAATGTCTTCTATGTAAGTTTCCTTCTAGTTGCAGTTTATTGTCTAGAAATAAAGCTTTACCCATTGACCTACCTCTTCTCATAAACATACTGCCTCTGTAGGAAAGATACTTAATTTTACACCATAAAAATAAATATTAAAAGAGTTATTAATTAGAAATCTCACCTGCCCAACTTGGTTATGAAATGAACATATCATTGTCTAAGTGTGTTTTTGTATATGCATGTGCAAAGCCATGTATAAATGATTTTGTGGCCTCATCTAAATTTAAAGGGTGCAAAGATTTTGAATGCAAAAAATTCATGCATAGAAGTAATCTTTCTTGGGTCATTGAACATGCATTCAGGGTTAGACAGATATATTCCAATTGTTTATGTGCAGAACTAGAGAACTGTATGTAAGTATCTATGCTGAATCTGTACAGGTCTTATATAACACACCTGCCTTTGTATTTTAATACCTAAAATGGATGCAATAGCTTATGTGCCAATCAGAGCCATCCATGTGGTTAAAATCCAAGGCAAAGCTAATGATAGTTTGCTGTGATGACAATGCATTATAACATGTTTTCTCTCCATTATCATGGGGTCCTTGGTCTCTCTTGCACAGCCAGGGCTGGTGATAAGTCACCACGCGGACCACACCTTGAGTAGTTTCTGCCAGTGGCAGTCTGGACTGCGGGGGAAAGACGGGACCCGCCATGACCACGCCATCTTACTGACCGGTCTGGATATATGCTCCTGGAAGAATGAGCCCTGCGATACTTTGGGTAAGACCCTCCAGTGGAGTTTTGGGGACCATGAGTAGGGTGTGCACCTTTCTTGGGTAGTACCTGGTATTAAATATTTTTGCCCTTTTTTTCATATTCCTAAGCAGTATCTGCTGCTGAGTACAGAATAGATTCACTTCCCTGCATAAACTTTGGCCAAACTTAAAAGTATGCTCTTATTCATGGAGTGATTATTGAACAAGGAAAAGTCCCTCACAGATTCTAGAGTTCCTGTCTCTTCTAACATAATAAATAATTTCTTCTGTTTTTTTCTATCATTTGACAAATTCAGGGGTGTCTCATGATGTGTCAGAGATAGTATATTTATGAATATTTGTAGATACTATAACAATGTTATATTTCCATTTCAATATCAATATTTTAACATTAACAATTTTGTAGACATTTACAAGGCTGAGTATATCTTGCAGGCAGTGCTTTGGTGTTTTCCAAGTGGTCCGTGTAAAACAGTGTGTACTGACCAGGGCTCTGCTGACCATTTTTTCTAACTCTCCATTTCTTCCCAAGTTTTTAGGGAGGAAGGGTTTTTATTATAAAAACTTTCAGCTAGAACCCAGTTTAACAGAGGTAAGTCCTATTGCGCAGAAAAGAGATAACACACTGGCCTGACTGCTTGCCCTGGAGAGGCCTGCCCTGGGCTGGCCTCTGAGAACTTAGACTTTAGGATTGTTCCACCACCCTACGTGGTAAGAGTGGCTCACTGTGCCTAGACTGTCTGTAGGAACAATGCAGTTTATGCTGAACACCTGCTCTCCTTCTGGGGGTCTGGAATTTTGGTACGTGCTAGGCAGAGGGTGCCTACGTGATCAGCCCCCAGTAAACACCTTGAACACCGAGGCTCTAAGGAGCTTCCCTGGTTAACAACACTTAACCCTTATTGCTGGGGGAAGTAAACATGTTCTGTGCGACTCCGCCAGGAGAGGCTCTTGGAAGCTTGTGCCTGGTTTCCCCAGACCTCTCCACACATGACTTTCCCCTTTGCTGGCTTTGCTCTGTGTCCCTCTGCTGTATTAAATCATAACTGTGAGTACGACAGATGCTCGTCGTGGCACATGCGAATCACTAAGCCTGGAGGTGGTCTTGGGGACCTCCCAACACAGCCATTCTCTACATTTTCACCAGGCTTTTCAGAACACAGATGTTTACAGAAAAAGGCAAAAATTCTCCTCCATCTGCAGTTTTTAAACCTCCACTTCTATTTTTCCCCAAGTACAGCCTGTAACAGGAACATTACATAGCACTATGATTTTTTTTCCGTGAGACATAGTGGCCCTGGGCTCCTGGGAATAGATTCCCTTCTCCCACATTATGAAGTGTGGTTGTCTAAGGGTCTCCCATTTCATAATTCCCCAAATAAAGATAAAACTAAATTTCACTAAGGGACAGAAAATAAATATACAGCTCTTTCTTTATTGTAACAGCTTTGCTACATATTCCTTTGATCTTTATGCCCCATAGGATTTGCACCCATAAGTGGAATGTGTAGTAAATATCGCAGCTGCACAATCAACGAAGACACAGGCCTCGGACTGGCCTTCACCATTGCCCATGAGTCCGGACACAAGTAAGTGCTTCTGCATGGAGGAGGGGGGACCTCAGCATCCTTTCCTTGCTCGGTGAGCACCATAGGAACAGGGACTCATTAAGTCAAGTCTGCAGAGGAAATTCACATGTATCCAACAAGAATGTCGTTGACATCTATAAAATGCTATCACTTAGGGCCTTGTGTTTTTATTTTAGTGTCCCGTCATGCACATTTTAAAGCCACAGCAATGCACATGTTTACATTTCTCTTGATCTAGTCTCTGACATTCCTGTTCACACATGTGCCTAAGATTGAGGGTGGTTCTATCTGTCCCTATTCCTCTGTCCTGTGTTTTACTTGGTCCTATGAGTTAATCTCATTCCACAGTTAGCTGCTGTCAGGGAATCCCAAGCGATAGAGGACAGTGACAAGCCCTCCCATTGTTAACTGTTGTTACTATGAAGTTTGTGTATGTTTTTTGTACATTTATTTTTATAGTCTGTAGCGATGTTGCTTTTTGATTTGTGTGCTGAGCAGAGTTTGGGGAGTGTGGGTACTGAGAAGAGATCTAGCGGGCCAGATGGACTTGGTCTGTCTTCCTTATTTCACCCCGACTGCAGTGTTGTCGGTTTTGAAATGAAGCAGCATCAGGTAGGACTATTAGCCTGGGGACTCAGCACAGGCACTAGGCCTGAGCTGGCAGATCTCGGACACCGGTGGTGTGTCATTGTGTTGTCTCCTTACAGAAAAAGCTTACGTTATGCCCACAGAATGAGCAATTTATAGCAATTATTTATGGAAATTGTTATTGTTAGTCAAGATTTCTTAGGACAATAATTCAGTAAACTGCTTTTACTGGCAAAAAGAAAACAAAGTCAGCGTTTTGTGATTTGTGTTTTTGCAAAGCTGACTTCTCCATCCACTGTTGGAAAATGGACTCAGGTCATAGACTCATGTCAACCCAGATGTGTTTGTGTATACATGTGTGTGTGTACATGCGCATGCATGTGTGTATACACGTGTGTGCCATGTTTAATGAAATCCTGAGGCCCTGCAGGCTTCAGCTGTGTGTGAACTAATGACCTGAAAATGAAGCCTGATATCCCATTACTTATCCCTCCATCGTTACAGGTAATGATTGACCATTTCATTGCTTAGAAAATTACACCTACACTTTATAAAGCTTTTAGTTAAATCATAAGTGTATTTTTAATAGTCTGCTAGAGTTAAAACTTCAAAAACTCTCATTATTGTAGCGACATGAGGTTCTTGCTGTCCTCTGAACCATACCTGAATTTAATTAAACAATCAAGGCTAGAAATATTTAAGTCACTGAGGGCCGAGCAAGTCAACATCTGATGGCAGCTGAGATACGGACATTGGCAGCGTCAGCCGTTGCAGGTGGTGAACTTAAGCAAAGTTAAACTTGATACATCCCAAACTGGGCTCTCGGTTAGTCTTCATTGTCAACAAATATCAGTGTTTGCACTTCTGTTTTTTAGAAGTCAGTTATTAATATTTGCTTTCACAACTCAGACTGGGTCTAGATGGAAAAAGAATTTCCTCCAAACAAGAAAAAAGTATTTTTACTTGAAAGTGGGAATCCGGATGGGAGTAAAGAAAGAAGCTCTGCATGTGGACAGAGGAGAGTCACGTTGCCAGTAGAATGAACCTCAGAGATTGCCAGATCCTTCTCAAACACCTGCCATTTAGCAGACACTGTGCAAAAGACAGAGAACGGGGAGCTCGTCAATGAAGTAGTTTCTGATCATGTTAAGAAAATAAGAAATATATGTCTTTAGCATGTGGTAAATGCCAAAAGGAGTGATAATGATACTAATAGTAATGGCCACAATAATAATAACACCTTCCTTGTGGAGCACTTTTTGTAAAATATGCCAAGCAATTTCACTTAGAGCTCAAACCATAGAGACTGCTGGGGACCCTCCCTTCTGCTGCCTTCGCCAACTTGGGGGGACTATGCTGAGTGCTCTGTGGGCCTGTGATGGAATGCAGGGATGACTGAGCTAGGGAGTGAGCAGGTGAACACATGAAGATGAGCATTTCGGATGCGTGTCAGCTGTGACCACCTGACTCAGTAATAAAACTCCAGGTTTGGTCAAACTGAATCAAAGATAAACACATTTGTTCAGTGCATTTATTTAATAAGTATTATTTATTGAAGAAGTAATTATAAGTTTGATGCATGGATCAAATGTCATGACATAAACAGTGCACCTTTATCTTTGACAATGAGCTTCCAGCAGAGTCAGATTTTTTGGTTCTGTACTTTAACAAATAGGAAGTAATTTGCGTCTGTGAAAGACACATGAAACATCCTGTTTCAGAGGTGAATTTTACTTCTTCAGCTCTGTTTACATTCAGAGGACACTGCGGGGCTGCTCCATGCCTGTAAGTCCTAGGTCTTCTAATTTTTAACTCAGAGGAAGATTTCAGTTCATGTCCATCCACTTTCTTCTACTAAATTCAGTCATTTTCATCTAAAAACATCTTATACCTTATACTGAAGAATCTGACCTAGAAATAGAAATGGCTGAGAACAAGTGTTTGGATTTGTGTCTTAAGACAGGAGGAGGGGCTAGAACCAGAACCGAGATGTGTATTCTCCTCTAGGACATGAGATTGAATCAGGATGTTGATTAAGCCGGAAGTAGAAAGAGAGTTTCCTGGTTACACTACATCCCTTGACGCAGAACATGTGGTTTGCTAGATGCAGGTATTCGGGAATTGGCACGGACACACCAAGGGCTAAACTGCACGTTTCAGAGAATATGCCAGCGTGAATCCATCTGAAAAATCCCCATCTGCTAAGGGAAGTCAGGCCACTTGATGGGCAGGGCCCTGGGACTCGGATCCCAGATGACGGCAGCACTCCACAGCCTGGTAGCGTGCAGGAGTGCCACCTGGTCAGCTCTTACCTGGCCTTCCCATCTGCAGAGCCACAGAGCACTGTGAGCTCCTTAGCTCATGTGTGCAGGTGCAATTTAAGATGTATTATTTGAGCTGAACAATATTATGTAAGATAGGCTTAAATAGTTAAATTGGATTATCATTTCAGACCATTAAGACACTATTAAAACACATTCGTTGTGCTCAGAAGTATTCACAATCCATCTCTCTTACTTTTCCCGAGTTTATGGACTCGTTCACTGGGCACAGTTTTCATTCACCAGCAAGACATTATGTATGATTCTATAAAAAGATTAGTTATCCACTAGTTTTGCCCTCCAAAAGTCTAAGAGAAAAGATAAAATGGACATGCCATGCAGGTAATGAGGATTGTGGGCATTGCAAGAGAATACACGGGGTGATTGGGGGTTCTTCTTGGAAGAAGCAGAATGGGCCTCACCACCTGTTAGCTTGATAGTACCATTCAGCTCAGCCACACTTCCCCGCAACACCCTTCCCAGTGTTTGACGGTGCTGCGCACATCCCACCAATCTGAGGCTGTGCTCTGTCATCAGCCTGCGCTCCTTCCACCAGGACAGGGAGGCACTCAGTGATTTTAAAGACTTGTAGAATACTGGAGAAAACCAGCCCCTTGCCAACACCTGGTCTGGTGATCATCAGACTCTCCTCTGGGAGCTCTAATTTTATTTATTGTCATTCCTCTTAGGATTTCTTGTTTGTTTCTGTGTCCAAAAAGGATTTGAAATCCATTGACATTTGCCGCCTGCACAACACATATGCATCATGTGCGCTTGAATGACTTTTAGGTGTTGAGTGATTTGATCAAGACCACATTCAAATCAGAGAAAGGGATAGAAGTTTTGAATTTTCCTTTGTGACATGGTGCCAGGTATTCTGTACAGTTTACGAGGAAGATTTTATTATCCCATTTTATATATGAGGAAGCTGAGGTTTGGAGGTTAAATAATTTTCCCGGTATCAAGCAGCTTGTGAATGACAGAGCCCAAACTCTGCCTGGGTCCCTGCCTCCACAGCCCTGCTCTCCCAGTTATCTTCCTGGCCCCGACCCCCTTCCTCTCCCACTGCTGTCCCTAGCTTAGCCCCCACCTCTCACAGAGGACAAGCTGTGCTTCTCGAGGAGCCTGTGTCCGGGCTCTGGACATCTTCGTCCTACCTGTGCTCATCTTTATCACTCCAAGGGTGGAATTTACCATCCAGGTTACATTGGCCCTGGCTCCTTTGAAGGATGTCTCATGTCCTTAATCACTGCAGTCTGAATAGCCTGGGATAACTGACACGACCTCTAAAATCACTTGGCCAGCTATTGGTCATTCTGAGTATATTATCAGTAATAAATAAATACTCGCCAATAGTAATTGAATCACTCAAGAAAATATTGTAGAAGACATTAAAAGTACTGACACTGATTATAATTGTCAAGTCCAATATGAAATTAGGTTTATATTTGGGCATTTGAATTGGTGTTACAGCTGGAAATGTTGTCTTTTAATCATTCAACACACGTGAATGGCGAATCTGTTATGGGCTATCAAGTCCACCGCAGTGGGGCTCTTGAGCATGGATAAGAGGAGTCTTAATCCATTAGAAATAGATAAGCTAGTAAGGGATGGAGAGATAAAACATATTTATTATTTTAGCATGTGGAATGATAAACACTTAAAATGCCGTGGTGCATAGGAGCAAAAACATAAATGATCTGACCCGCATAACTTGTATGTAATTATATTTCTTGATTACCAAATACCAACCTTATCTTCAAAATATGTTCTATTCATTCACCCGTGACTTTATTAATGTTGAGATTAAATGCGATCGCTGTGTGGTGCTTTTATGCTGATGTGCTGGCGTCCAGCACATTACAATATCTTCCAGTCGTTGTACTGATTGGAAGCGCAGTGCTGAGATTTGGGAGGGCGTCAGAGTCCCCTGGGGGTGTGTTAAAATACACCCGAATGCCAGATCCCAACCCACAGAACCGAAATCCTCCAGTGCAGACGTTGGGTCACCACATGGGCAGTAACTTCTCAGATGTTCTGATGCATAGCAGAGTTTGAGACTTGAGGCTAGAAAGAATCATTGAAAATACCTTAAATGAAAAAGTTTAACACCAAGATGTTTCCAGACCGGGACATTGTGACTTTGAATTCCTTAGAAATATAGGCAGAAGTGGTAGCAAATGTATCGAGAGCAATTGCTGACAATAATGTGTCTTCTTCATGAGTAGATCAAAGGCCAGCCAAGGAGGGTAGTTTGCTGTTTCATTTTCATCATTTTCTCCCCAAGGCAGCCTCCCGTTTGGCAGCCTGAACCCTTCTGCAGCCATGACACATTTCCTCTGCCATATGGTGTCCCGGGCCTTGATTAATTGCCTTTAATAGAACTTCAGAGAATGGGTGGAGGCGAAAATGACTACGTCTACATCATCTTTGGTACTGATCAGAAATCTTGCAGGAATTCAGTAGCGTTTGCCTGCCAGCTTTCTTAGGATACACCCTTCAATCATGCTCAGGTTACACCACTGCGTGGGTCCTGCCTGGGCTCTGGCATCAGAGTGCCAGGTTCTAGTTTTGACTCTGCAACCCTGAACAAAGTCTCTCTCCAGTCCTCAGTCTGCTGTCACTAATATATGACCTACCTTATAGGGTTTTGGTAAGTTTTAAGTTAGAAAATATAGGTCACACGCTTAATATCATATGTATAAAATAGTGAGTGCTTATACATGTTAATTGCTACTTTTACTCACATATTGAATAACTGTAAGCAAAACAGTTCAGTGGACAAATGTGTCTTCAGCCTTGGCAACAAGTGCAGATTCTCTTGTCAGCTTTAGGAGCCCAATTCCCACATCTTGGTGTCATCCTGTCCCTGCTGCCTTCCTCCCTCTCATCATGGGATGCTTGGCAGTAGAATGTCCCCAGATCTAGTAACCATTGTGTCCTTCTTCTCTCTCTCTCTCTCTCACACACACACACACATCTGCATCTCTGCACCTCCCTGTAGGTACCCTGCTTTCAGGGAATGCACACAATGACTGGCTACCAAACATTCACGGCGAGTAGTGACTTGACGCTCCAAGAATATATTTACCTCAATGGGAGGTCTCCAGGGCGCACAGAGCTCCAAATCCCCCAGGCATTCCTCCCCAGACAGCACGCTGTGCTCTCCTGAGACAAGGGAAGATGGCAGCGCAAGGCTCTCCTACAGGCAAAGCTCTTGGAAGTTAAGAAGTAGACTTGATGGGGAGGGAGGGAGCAACTCAGCTCAACACGATTTTCACAAGTGCAGGGCTACAGTTTCCTCACGAGTCATTAAGCAGGTGCTGATTGGCATTGCGGGATTTGAACCCCTCGGATGGACACTGTTAAGGGTTCCTATGGCCAATAGAGCTTGAGACGGACGTTCCTATATACCAAGCCAGGTGTGGATCCCAAAGAGGTCTGGTTTTCACTCAAGACTAACCAGTGCTGCTTCAAACAACACCGACAAATACACCCAACCGTGTCCACCACTGGGGTTCTTTGGAACTACTCCCTCCAAAGCGGTGCAGGGGTTCGACTCAAGTGCTGCCCACTGTCTCAGCCTCCAGCGGTGCAGACGGATAGTCCAAAATGGAGCCATCCCAGACGGGCGTGGAGACAATGTCAGCCCCACTAGGAGCTGCAGTCGCTGCTCAGTAGTTCTCAAATCACTGGAAGCATCACAGTCACCAGGAGAGCTTGTTGGAAAACGCAAATGCCTGGATCTCTCTTTTATGAATTAACAATTCCTGGCCAGGAGCCTGGCATCTGTGTTTCTAACAAATGCCCTTGGAAATTCTGACAATCATGGTCAGCAGAAAAGAGTATAGACAGAAGGAAACAAGTGGCATAGAGCAGTACCAGCTTTTCAAGATCGCAAGTCCTTGCCACACACCTGAAATGCTTCTTTTGCTAAAAATAATTAAATCATCCATCCTTGGTGGGCACCGGGACCTCTACTCCGATTTGATGCAGGTGTACACTTCCACACACTTCCATGGGCAGTCTGTTCTTCAGGGAAGGCCTAGGTATCCAGGAATATTCTCAACACATTGGCTGTTACGGCTTTCATTTTTGCCTGCCCAGTGTACAGAAGTAGGGGAGTCTCCACAGTCCTGACTTGTGTTTGTTAAAGGATATTAAATAATTTCAACTCTTCTTTGTTCTGACAGAGCCATTTTTTTTCTCTCTCTTTCTCCTAGCTTTGGCATGGTCCACGATGGGGAAGGAAATGTGTGTAAAAAGTCTGAGGGCAACATAATGTCCCCAACGTTAGCAGGACGCAACGGAGTCTTCTCCTGGTCACCCTGCAGCCGCCAGTATCTGCACAAATTTTTAAGGTATGAACTCCTTGAGCCTTATGTGATCTTTCAGTGGCTGCCGTGCTCACAGCCTGGTCTGCTGATCCTGCACACGCAACCCCCAGGCTGTGCTTCTGGATGCGTGTCCCCTTTGAAGGTGTCTTGAGACACTCAGTTCACCCAGGAGTTTGCTCCTTAGAGCATCAAGGCTTGCTAGCTCAATCCAACATTGACCTTTCGACTCAAGGGGAGCCATTCAACCTTACCGTAGCATTTGTCACTAACGTTTAATTTTTTTAAATTCTCACTTCTATAACTAGGCATATTCAGTCAGTGAATAGGAAGATATAGCATGTTTGTATCTGTAAACACAATGATAAAGCATAACTAAGGTTTTTAGTTTTTTTCTTTCTTTTTCTTTTTGTTTGTTTTTACAAAATACATTTCACATTAGGTAGAAAAACTTCAGTGTATAAACTTTAACCTGGATCTAAAATCCAGTAATTTTAAGTAATATTTTTAGATACTTTATTTTAGCACTAATTTATTTAGGATATAAAACATTGGGGAGATAGAATTTGACCCTTGAAAAAGAGGTGTTCAGTAGATTTTTAAAATTTCAGAGAAATAAGGGACTTCAAGAAACATCCTTAGATCTGCTAAGAGAGTAGACAATCCCCCAAATCTCAATGGCTTTGAGTTTACACCCTAGTTTAAGCCTTGTCTTAGTCTGTTTGTGTTGGTATGAAGAAATACCTGAGGCTGGGTGATTTATAAAGAAAAGAGGTTTATTTGGCTCACAGTTCTGCAGGCTGTACAAGAAGCATGGCACCAGCATCTGCTTCTAATGAGGGCTTCAGGAAGCTTCTATTCATGGTGGAAGGTGAGGGGGAGCTGGCATCAAATGGCAAGAGAGGAAGGGAGAGAGGGGAGGGAGGTGCCAGGCTCTTTCTAACAGCCAGTTCTCAGGGAACTAATAGAGTGAGAACTCACTCATTACCATGAGGATGGCAGCAGGCCACTCATGAGGGATCTGCCCCCATGACCCAAACACCTCCCACCAGGCCTCATCTCCTACATTAGGGATCAGATTTCAACATGAGATTTGGCAGGGCCATAGGCCAAGCTGTAGTGAGCCTTAAACCAAAATTTCATTTCTGTCTCACATTATACCCCAGTGTGAACTGAGGGGTCTCTGCCCATGCAGTCATTCAGAGACCCAGGTTTCTTCCATCTTGTGGCTCTTTTTTCTTCCAGGACCCAGTGCTACAGACAGCCAGAGGGTGAGGACAGAGCAGCAAGGAGGGTGTGCACGAGAGGGTGGTATTTTTGGAGGGAGAACTCAGACTGTGTTCTGAAGTCCAAGGGGGGCTGAAACAGTTGTCTACCCAGGAGCTCCGGAGGAACAGAATGGGAAGAGGAAAAAGAGGGCTATATGGGCCACAGCATCAACCCCAAATGCTGTCACAAGGAAGTAACTGAAACCTGAAAGGACCAGCTAGGTGATGGCAAGATTGAGAGCAGAACCCAGGCATTCCGGACATTGGAACTGACTCTCTCCTCATCCCAAAGACAATGGATGCAGCCAGCAGAGGAAAAGCAATTGTGTTGCAATCATAGCCATTATTTTTATTTTTATCTCCAAGTACTAAAAAAATTACTTGGTTCAAATGCTAAAAAGGTGAATCAGAGTCTTGGTTTATAATAGAAAGCAGCTTTTATCTCTTGAAGGTGACTGAGCTGTGAGGAAGCGCACAGGTGGTGTGTACACTGAGCCTCATTCCTGGGCTGCATGCAGTGTCCACGTGCGCTGGATCTGCATGTCCTCCCGGGAATTCTTTCCCTTCCACCTGACACATTCTTCAGAGACCAATGGCAGCACTCGGTGCCCACTGGGATTTGATACTTCTATTCCTCATGGAAGACATCAGTCTCCACCTTTGCTATTTAGGGAATATTATAGTTTTTTTGGCCTGAGGTGGCAGACCTATCTTATTCAGGATGAAGGACATGTTTACTCACTAGACAGAAATGTATTTTTCCAGACACAGAAGAATCAGGCTTGCTCCTAAAAAACACATTGACTCACAATAGCTACTGTTTCTAGTAGAGGAGATATCAAAAATATGCTTCTTTATTTTCAGAATTCACTGATGCTAGCAAATAACAAACGGAATGGGCTGCTGTGTTTATTCTCAATTAAATTCATTTATAATATTTTTTAAAAATCGTACTTCCAAAATTCATCAAAGAAAGTATATAAATTATTGCTGCCATTTCAATGATATAATCTTGGGAAAAGCTAACAAATGCAACCACATTACCTTAAGAATTTGGAGCTGATTGCACAAGAAATCACAAAATAATTAGTAAAATTGAAAGTTAGACAAAGAGGAAAAGAAAATGAAAATAAAAAATGAAGACCAGAGGAAAGGACATAAATACATAAATCCTAAGGAACTACCAAGTTATGATAGCAAAGCTTGAAATTTGGCAAGAAAGGAAATATATTTCTAATATTAGAAAGTAGGGCAAATACTAACACTTCAAGGAAAACAAAGCTTTTAAAAAAAATAGCTTTATTAACATAAAGTTGATATACCAAAAGACTACACACACACAATGTGTACAATTGGATGGGAGTTTAGACATATGCAGACACTAGGGCAATGGTCTCCACGGAGATTCCACCAGAGTTGGTGGAAGAAAAAATAGGCTGGCAGTACCAGCACCCAAGAAGTCCCAAGCTAGGAAGCCAGATGGCTGCCTTCCAGGTCTTTGCAACTTATGTGTTCTCACAGTCAAAGCTAAGAGCTGGTTATTCCAAACTGAGAATTAAGGATGGGAATGTCCCTTCCATAGTAGGTCCTGTAGACACCAGTCAGGGTTCAACTGGCCCCTCTGGTTTCTCTCACTGACCTTCCTTTGGGTTCCACTTTTTCTTAGTTTTCTTCCTTATTTATTTATTTATTTAGAGCTCTCTCTTTTTTTTTTTTTTCTGTTGCACAAATGAGGTCTCTCGTTTCCAGAACTCTGAGCAGGATCCTGCCGTGTTTCTGTCAGTTCACTCTCGTGTGCCGTCTGGGGGACTGCTTCCCCATGGCTGGGTTACCCGCCTGCTGCCTCTTCCTTGGGTTCTCTAGAAGGCCCTATATCCCACCTTCTGAGCCAGCGCCTGGATCAGCCTTTAGCGTCTTTCTGCCTCTTGTTTGTACTCTGAGATCTCAGTCAAGATACTTTAACACCTTAAGGAATGATGATTGTGATCCATATTTTATGCCACCCAGGATGAGTGAGCATTTTGTGGACAATATCTGTATCTTAGTAACATAAATCTGTAATCTAGGAATATACACTTGATCATTTTTTTCAATTTCTATTACCAAAAATGACAATATTGATATTATTCTGCAGCTGACACGACCCTGGAGCACATTTAACATTTGTCATTCCCTGGATGGATTCTCATGAAGTCAAGTTGGGGGTTGCTAGCATTGTTTTTAGCTGTTTCTCGCAGCTGTTCACATTTTTTTCAGTGTGTGCGTGAAGAAGTCTGCTCTCAGTAACAAAGAGCCTTCGCTTTAAACTCACCATGCTCTTCCTTGCATTAATAAGGAAAATTTGGAGGTTTCTACATCTCAGATCTTTTCTATAATTTTCTAGATTCATAATTTTTTAAAAATCTCTTTTTTATCTTAATGTTTATAAGGTAAATATTTTTTAATATTTTGAAATATGCTCTGACTACTCGGAAAACCAGGGAATGCACATTTGGGTGTGTAGCGAGAATCGGCATCATGGAGTCCCAAAGAAGTTTGGAAACTGCTGAGAAATAGAGGAAGACTCATGAAAATAAATAGTTACATGCTTAGAGAAAAATTAGTTTGAGGACACTGAAAATGGACTGTAATTTTCAAATCAGAATATAGTCTTGAGAATGAATGATAATTAAGGTACTGGAATTAAAAGCCATTTTTGTTCTATGATTCTAGAAAGGCTAAACTATATACCGAAGTGTGGTGATTTGTTTTTGTGCTAATCCAGTAAAACACTTCTGTAGCATTTCAATAATAAACCTTTATTTTCAGGGACTTTGCTAATTTCCTTGGACCGTATGATTATAAATAAATATATAAAGTTTTAGATGATTACATGTTTGTTTTCTTAAAAGATAAAATTTTCCAAGAAAGTCTTGCTGTCAAATTCACTATTAAGTTTTATTTTACTTGAAAACTAGTTGCAAATTGGACACTTCCACCATGTGTTAAGTTTTGATTTTTCACTGACTTTATGAATCTGAGACTGTCATCTTTAACAAGTTTGCTGACTTCCTGATTTCCAAGTAATCAGAATGCTCTTATATTCTCCACCATTAGGTGGCTTTTTGGACAGGATCCCAACAATGAGTAAGGTAGATGGCTGACTTTTAAAGCTGAATCTGCCCTCCCTTATTAGCAGTTAACATTTGGTAGATGGAAAAACGTGTATAATAAGGGAACTCAGTCGGCCTGAAGTTGTCAGCACAACTTTTCTCCATTCTTGGTAGAGTCGCGGAGGACAGATACTTGTTGGAAGTCAATTCATCAACCTAGTCAATAAAGTCATTTCCTATTAACAGATGCAAACCTCATCACAATTACTCATGTCTGCATCTAGGAGGCCTGTGACTTAGGGAAATTTTAGCTCATTATTTTACATTTTATGACAACATGGACTCATCTTCAATTTACTTTTCAAAAATTTGAGTCATGTCCTGCAGATGAGTGAATATGCCTGCCTTCTGCCACATGAAACTGCACATACATCAGTACACAGGACAGGTGGCCATCACGGGGAACTGGAAGCTTGAGAGGTGCATGGATCTCCCTGCCATCACCCATGCTGCCTTTGCTGATGCAAAAATGTGATTTGACCTGAGAGCCCATTAAGCATGTTTTTATGCATAATGAAAATAATACATTTCAGTCACACCTTGCTCAGCTATATACTGTCCAGCTTAAGGAAAACAAAGCAGCCAGCCACAGCTGATTGCTGTCTGTGCAGTGCTAGTACGACATAAGGCTGGAGAACAGGTGCTGCCCTGTAGTGGGAAAGGAGCTGATACACAGATCATGTCTTTATCACTCGTGTCTGGGAAGGTCTTGATCTTGGCAAGTGACATAACCCCGTTTTCATACTTGGAAAATGAGGGGCTACAGCTGAAAGACCTCCAAAGCTCTTAACCATTTTATGGTTCACTAATTAGAGTGGGAAAAGGATTTTGAAAGTTACTGTGGTATCTTTCACCTCCCTTAGTGTTCTCATTAACATTAGTTTTGTTGTGGTGCAAGATATACACAAAGAAGTATAAAATCATTAGGGTACAGCTCAATGAATTTTCACGCAGTGAACACAGTAGTGTGACTCCTGTCGGATCAAGTTACAGAGCACAGTGAGGACGCCAGAAACCTCCTTCCCCACACTCCAGTCCTCACCTTCCTCTTCCCCAAAGGTAACCACTTGCTTGACATGGGACAGTGAACAGTGAAATCAGGAGTTACGTACTATTTTGTGATTATGAGATTCACCCTTGTTGCCGCATATAAAAATAGCATTAGTTTGCTTATTTTTGTTGTATTCTGTTGGAGATAGGCATTTGAGTTTCCAATCTTTGGCTATTATAAGGAATGTTACTACGAATATTCTTTTGGTTATGTATATATCCGTGAGTACACACAGGGGTGGAATTTCAGGGGCGTGAATGTATATTCACAGTTTTGGTGACACTACCAAGCAGCTTTCCTAGGCGGTCGTGAGAAGTTACACTCCCAGAAGCAGTTATGAAAGATTCAAATGGCTTCAAATCCTTGCCAACACTTAGTCATGTTGGTATTTTTCATTTTAGTCACTCTGGTGGGTGTGTAGGGGCATATCAATGTGTTAATTAATGACACTGGATACCTTTTATATGTTTAATGCCCACTTGAATAACCTTTTTAGTAAAGTGCCTGTTCAAATCTCTTACACATTTTAAAAAAATAAAACCCCCGGCCTTTTCCTGGCCCCTGAACGGAATAACTTAAAAAATCCCAAGGGGAAAAATTTGGCCCAATCCGGAAAAAAAGGAACGGAAAAAACCTCCCCCCGTCCGGGAACTCCCAATTAAAATTTCCCAAAAAGGGGCCTCCGAAAAAAAAAAAGTTTAAATTTTTAAAAATAGAGACCAAACTACCCACATTTCTCTTTAGGGGTGGTGCTTTTTGTATGCTGCTAGGGTTGGGGGGAACTCTGCTTACCCCAAAGTTGTTAATTTACTCATCCACATGCTCTCCTATAGGTGTAATTGTTTGCTTATCACATGTAGACCACTTAATTTTTGTGTATGGCATGCAACAAAGTCAAAATTAATTTTGTCCGCATGCTTATGGTGGTAGATTGTTTGTGAAATGGGGCTGCAGTGATTTTGTTTTCTGCACTCACACCGTTGGTGGCCGTGCCTTTGTGCATTCTCACTGGCAGTGAATGAGGGTTCCTGCTGCTCCTCATTCTCATCAGCATTTGGCATTGTCAATGCTTTGGATTTTAGCTATTCTAAGAGGCGTGTAGTAATATCTCAGTGATGTTTTCTGTGATTCCCTGATGACATGTGATGTTGAGCATCTTTTTATATGCTTATTTGCCGTCTATATCTATGCATTGATAAGGTGTTTGTTCAGATATTTTACCCATTTTTGTTTTCTTACTGTTGAACTTTAAGTGTCATTTATATATTTTATATAACAGCCTTTTATCAGATATATCTTGTATAAATATTTTCTCCCAGTCTGTGTCTTCTCATTTTCTTGACAGTGTCTTTCACAGAGCAGAAATTGATAATTTTAATGAAGTCCAGCTTAACGACTGTTTCTCTCACAGATCGTACCTTCAGTGTTGTGTCTAAAAAGCCGTCACCTAGGTTTTCTTCTCTGTTATTTTATAGGGTTTTATAGTTTTGCTTTTTTACATTTGGATCTCTGATCCGTTTTCAGTAAATTTTTGTGAAGAGTATAAAATCTGTGTTTAGATTCATTTTTCTTACATGTGGAAGTCCAATTTTTCCAGCATTATTTGTTGGAAAAACTATCTTTCCTCCATTCTCTTGCCTTTGCTCTTTCATCAAAGAGCAGTTGACTCTATTTGTGTGGGTCTGTATCTGGTCTCTCTCTTCTGTCCCATTGATCTATTTGCCTGTTGTTTTGACAATGCCATACTTTCTTGGTCACTGTAACGTTATAACAAGTCTTACAGTTGGGTAGGATCAGTCCTTGGGCTT